CAAAGCTACCAAATGAGAGAAGGAAGTTGACTGTTTAAGCTGCAACTTTTGTCTTATAAAGAAATGGCCCCTCCTTAAAACCTGTTACAGTAATTACCTTTCCAAGAAGTTGTTACTCTGCAATCTGAGTAACCATGTGCCAACCACAGTTCACTTTCCTATGGGACAAGTTGGAAATTTCCCTTTAGCACAAAGCATATTCATTCATAGGTTGCCAAGAGTAATTCTTTTGACAACTGGAGGAAGAAATGAATATGTTCTTAAAATTTCAGATCTACTACTACTAAAATAAAAGAAATTAAGAAATTAAACATACCCAAGTTAGAAAGTTTTAAGATTTTCCTACTAGGTAAAAAAGATAACCAGAATTAAATTCAGCTGCCCTATTAAAGGTCAATCTGTATAAAGTGCTCCCTGTAGACAAAACACGTGTTCATTTGCTGTGTTGAGCAAGACGTTTTAAAGAATACAATGAACTAGACTTAAAAGGAGGTCCCTGCCCTCAAGCATAGCAGGAATAGAATTATAATACAAAGTAGCTCATAATCAGAAAAGTGCTATAGGAAGTGGGAGAAATCCTGACAAAGGGGTTGAGGAAGACTTCTCCTAAGAGTTGGCAGTTGAGCCACTATTTGGAGGCAGAGTAGAATTTCAAGAAGGTATGGGGAATAAGGGAGGAGGCATTTCCTTTGGATGAAAGACCATGAGTTAATATCACTAGCAGAGAAAAGGAGAGAAGAAAGCTTGGAGAGGTTATTGGTCTTGTGAAAGTTGAACTGGATATGCAAATTGAATAATGTCCAGGAAATCATTTAAATACCTTTAACTTTATAAGCTTCCTTATGACAGTTCTTATCCACTGCAATCTTTGTGAGAAAGTAAGCAATTATTTTTGAGTCATAATTACAACGTGGAACAATATGACTGGAACAACTCCTGGGAATCACCTTGTGATTGAAGCACTTATTCAGCACATCTACTATCTGCATTTTGCAGGAAGTGGCTTAACAAGCTCTTTCCTTGTAACCAAAGGAAAAAAGACTTTGCTAAACCATTCCTAAGTTGTGGTGTTTGTTTTTTTGACTTTGCACAGGATCTCTAAGTCCTTTATTTCCCTCTGAAGCATTCTCTCCTAGTTTCTCAAGGATAGGAAAACTGTATTGATCGACTTTCACACATCAGCCTATAAGCAGGACGGGTATCTCCTGAATTTGTACCTTAGCTTACTCATGGAGATCATGCCATACAGAGATCAATAAACAGAAACTAACTTTCAAAGGCTCATGCTGTTCATGTCACATACTGAACAAATGACCGAGAATGTGAAGTTGACTTAATTATTCCTTCCCCAGCAGAGCAGAAAGATGTCCCCTGGGCAGCAGAATCTGAGGGACCAGGTACAGCCTGTAGTGGATAAAGATCGCTGGGCTACATGGAGAGCAAGAGTGAAGAGATGGAAGGAAGAGCACAGTCAGGCTGGCTCCTAAAAAGCCTATGAAGTTATGAAATATTTTACCGACTTCCCTAGAAGGCAATGGCTGGAAAACAATCTCCACGTTTGATTTGTCCCCCACGGTGCTTTATGAACTAGTCAACATTCAAGAACAGGAAGATTACAGAAGATTACACTGAAAACTTGAGAGGACCACCTTCTTTAAAAAAAGTTGAAGATCTGGCAACACTGGTCTTGTGTTCTTGCTTGGCAGCTATAGACTATCCCCTTGGCTGGTCCAGGTCTGCTGTCTCCATTCCACCCTCAAACCTGTCTATCTGCCTGGCCCCTGGAGGCATTCATGGGGGCAGTTTTTTGTTTTTTAAATATGTCTTTATTGATTTCAGAGAGAGGAAGGGAAAGAGAGAAACATCAATGATGAGAGTCATTGATCAGCTGCCTCCTGCAAGCCCCCAATTGGGGATTGAGCCCGAAACCTGGGCATGTGCCCTGACCGGGAATCGAACTGGGATCTACTGGATCCTAGGTCAATGCTCAACAGCTGAGCCACTCCGGCAGGGCTTCATGCACTTTGGTCAGGACGTGTGTCTTAATGGTCTTCATTTTAAATATACAATGATGATTGTATATTTCATATGTTAATGAAATCCAGTTAGGCAGACTTTCTTAATGATTCAGGATTACTTTATGAAAATAAGACAAAGTGAAACCTGTTTTGGGTGATCAAAAGATAAACAATGTAAGAGATTGGAGAATCATGTCTTGGCAGCTGAAACTGAAATCAGATTCAAACTAAAACTGCACCGAAAGCTTTCCAGTGCAGACAACAGAGAGGAGCATCCAAATGAAGGCACAAATGAAGGTTTTAGTCCAGTGGTCAGCTAAACAGAAGTTTGGAATAACATATATTCTGCATGTACAATATATATATAAAGTATATTCCCACATAGGTATGCATGCTAAATAATGCATGAAAAAATGATTTGAGGTAAAGCAGTGAAGATGGAGCTAAATAATCATCAACTATTTACATCAACTTGTCAGGTTAGTCAAATGTCCAATTGTTTATTTAAATTATTTTTAAATTACCGTAATGAGCTCAGTGCTAGATCTCTTTAAGAGCAAGATTCCTCGCAGAGAGTCACTTTAAATAGGACTGTTACGATAAGTAAAAAGAGAAACAGAATTTCCCTGTCACTTTTCTCCGTGAAGCACGAAGTGTTTGTAATAGGCAAAGTAGCAGAACTGAAATTAGCTAGTGCTCGACATCAAGCAAAGGTTCCGCTGGTAAAGGCAGAGCACCGTCTTTTTCCTAATGTGTTCTGCGCCCCCCGCCCCCCGCCGTCGCATTCTACCTTCTACGATTTCTGTGGGAGAGGATGACAACGCATCATCGCTAATACTATATTTGTTCTACTGCTCCAAAGGACGTTGTGTTAGGCTATCACAGCCGTGACACAGCTTTCCCCCCATCCAAGGACGTCCTGAGCCCCGCAGGCCAAACGATCCGGGGGAAGACCGCAGCAGCGGTCAATGTGACCACCTGTCCCTGGCTGCAGGCGGAAGGCTCAGCACGGATGCTCGGCGGTTCCTAGTTCCCTTTGGAGAAGGAGTTCCCCCCTTAGTAGGTGACCCGGCTCCACCACCGAGGCCGGGGCTCCGAGCTCGGCCGCCGGGGTCTCGAGAGGCTGAGGTTCCCCAAGTCCGGGCGGGACAGCTCCAGCGTGGCAGGTCCTGCTCTGGGGGGCCTTGGCCTCCTTCCCTTGTCTAGAGGGGCCGGGGGAGGCGCGGGATGGGGACGCGACAACCAGCGCCAGCTCCCGCCCTGGCTCAGCTCCTCAAATGTCACCCCGGGCTCACCAAAAAGCGCGTCGAGCTGGTGCCCTGGTCCACTGCCCCGACCAATGGCCCCAACACTGCTTTCTTCGTGGCTGCCATGAAACCAGCTTCGGGTCGGCTGGAGATCGCGGTCGGTTTCCCGGGTGACGGCGGCCAGCGGAGGAGGCGCAGACACCCAGTGCAAA